AGGATCTAATTTGTTTCCTTTTTTGATTAGTAGAATTATGTTTGTAGTTTTTTTTTTTAAATTACCTCCCCAAGGCCAAGAAGGCCACTACAGACAAGGAGGTAACTTAATTGTGGTTATAACCTTCTCTCAACTCTATAACTCCAAAACACAAACCTTGAAGAACAAGGCCGCTGTGCAGAAAAACAAGTTGAACATGGTACTACCAGGGACGTGGTGGGGACTCGGAACCTCTCGCTTATGAAGCGAGCACTCTACCACTACACCATTACCGCATTAATTAACCATTTGGTATAACGCCACAATAATATAACATTTTATAGGTGAGAAAGTGATTTTAAACAATCTTTGAGAACAGGAGGATGAAATTTGTCAACACCATTTGCTATATTTACATTAGGGTTTACTAAATGATACTCAACATCAGTGTCATTAAAACTTGAATTGCTACAAAAAAATTCACATTTTGAAGGAAACGTTACAGGGTCTAATATGTCATTTTATAAAAATACTAAAAATAAATACTTACCAAATCAATTTGCATTATCTAACTAATTTGTTATAATTGAACAATCAATAGTTTTGAGAGCTTTAATTGAATCCTTTATAACTGTTTTACTATTTAAATATGAATAAACATTTTAAGGTTGTTTTTTGATTTTTTAGCTAGATTTAATTCAAAAGCTCTTATATCTTTATTAACTCTTTTTTTTTACATTTTCATTCAAAGTTTTATAGCCATTGACCATTATGGATGGCTCTTTTACTTACTTTTTTTTTACTTATACCAGTAAGTTAATTTTTATCATTTACCATATCAGTTATTTATAGTTACCATTATAGTTATTATGTCAATTATTTATTTACCATAGTTTAAATTTTGAATGCCTGCATTTTCACCATAACTTTTTATAATTTTCCAAAGCTCTTTAGTCATCTATGAAAAATATTTTTTATTTGTATCATAATTTATATTTGGAATAAATTTACTACATCCAGTATTATATATATTTTGCCATTTTTTATAAGCTTGATTAGCATTTATATCATTTAACTCATTTTCTCAATCAAAACTTGAAAAATAAATGGAAAGTTCTTTATAATTTCCTTTAATGTATAATATTGTCTTTTTTTTGTTTTTAATCAAGATTGTTATTTTTATAAAAATATTTGAAATTCAATATATGGTGTCTATGTTCACCTCCACCTAGAGGTGGTAAGTGATTTAAACAGAAAACTTAATTACTAATTTCTGATAAGAACAAGTCTAATAAATTTGTATCAAACCCTTAGCTTACTTGAAATGTTGGCAACAGACATTTTGATATATGAAGCAACCATTTAAAGATTCTATAAACTCTAAGGCGCTCAAATCTGAATCATTCTTAAGTTTACAGAAAGTATCACTAAACTATTTTATATTTCAAAACTTAATATCTCCACAAATCAGAATTCCTGGGTATTTACCATTTTTCCAAGCTTTGTATATACATAAAAAATACAATAAAATCTTATCCTGTGACTTTGGTTATTTTCTGGCAACTTAAAATATCACTAGCACCATTTCGATATATACATCTATATAGAATATTTTCCAGACCAACCACAATTGAACACCATACTTGTTCAATAGCATTGTCAACTAGACAGTTTTCAGTTACAGGATAAGACTTTATTGTATTTTTGTATGTATATACAAACTCCTCCACCACTACTAAATTCATAACCTTTTTTAAACATATTCAAAACTATAATACTTTTTGCAAACTGATCAGTCCACCAAATTTCACAATATATATATATATATATATATATATATATATATATATATATATATATATATATAATATATATATATATATATATATATATATATATATATATATATATATATTATGATTTAATAATTTAATATATTATGATTTAATAATTTAAAAACAAAATGCAAAATTAATTTTTCCAAGTAAGAATACTGGGGATTTTCAAAGTGTTATCACACTTTGAGTATCATTTTAAAAACCAATGATTTGAATCCACAGTATTCTTATTTGGAAAAATTTCTCTCCTTTTATTTTTAAACTCTGTTACAACTATGTTCTGATCAAAATCTTTGAAAAAAACTTTAAAGATCAAATGAGCTCTTTGACATTAGTTATACGGATTTTGTTTCAAAAAAATTAAGAAACCAGACAAGGCAGTTACAAAAAACTTGAAATTCTCTGAAAACCAAATTTAAAAAAAAAAAGTCCTAACAACAGAAATTGACATTACATAGCAGCGTCCATCATATACTTTTTTTGGTCTGGCATCATTTTTACATAAATTTGAGTGCAATAAACATCTATTCAATACTAACTTGAGTCACTGGAAGTGCTGTGGCAATTTGCATGCTAGGATAATATAAAAAATTATATTCATTCCAGAGCTTTTTTAAACATCAACATTTCTGTTTTGTTTAAAAGATTTTGTGCTGTCTGGGGATCATTAAACTCTTTTTTCTCTATTCCTGTGTTTTGAATAGATTCTTGACTGTTGCTGGCTTTTTTCTTTTCTTGCTAGCCCCATTCTCTTAAGAAATTTCTTTTTTATAGTCAAGTCTTTTAATTGCTCACCAAAACTCTTGGTAAAAAAAGTTTATTAGCTTCTTTCAATCAAAAGAAATTTAAACTTTTACTCATTAAGCATTATCTGCACAAGCCAGAGGGTTTCTTTAGTTACCAGAGAGTCCTTAGCTACTAAAACTGTTATATAAGATATTTTTAACTAAAAAAATATATATATTGTCTTTACAAAAATATTTTTTTTTAATTTTAATTTGAAAAAAAAACACTCTTGTAAAAAAATTAATTAGGACAAATGCCTACTAAATATGTTTGAAAAAAGGCACTGATTGTACATGTCTGAAAATATAGCACAAAAAAAAAAGGATTACTTATTAAGGCTGTCTCCCTAGTTTTCAAAGTTTGTTTGATGGCTTTTACAAAAGTAGACTTCTTGAAACCACTTTCAATCAACTGTTCTTTCAACAAATCCTAAACAAAGACACAACGTCTAGACATGAGTTCCTCAAACTGAAACTATTGAGTCACTATGGCAGATTTTCCAATAAAACTTATAAACTATTTTATTAGCTTCCACTGAAATGGTTGACCTTCAAATTCCCTTTTCAGATATTTTCCTACCATATCTTCAAAAACTTCATATAATTGTAGAAGAAACTAAATTATTCACAGCAAAATTTTTCTTAACTGCTTTTACAAAATCATTTATCACTTTTACCATTTTTGACCTGTTGCTAGTATTAATTAGGGCTGTACCGGATTTCGGCTCCGGCTCCTGCTCCGCCGAAATCCTGCCGTTTTTACAAATCCGGCCCAAATCCGGCTCCGGCAAAAATTTAGCAAATCCTGCAATTTTAGCCGGAGTTTTGAATTTTGTCAAATATTTATTACATTTTTTTTGCCCGTGTTTACATGTATACCTAATATTTTATTTATAAAAATCAATTTTTTTTGTAATTATATATTTTATGAACCTCATATTTGTTTTGGTATTTGTATTTATATTTCTTTATAATTTAATAAGCTTAGTCTAATTTCAAACAACAACGCAACGAAAAATTCTGAAGGGAAGACACACGATATTCTACAATGATGCAGGTATAAAGACTATGATGTCAACCCTAATCAAGTGATTGGATGAGCGTTTTGAAAGCATTGAAAAGAGAAACCTCTTTATATACTGACGAGGCTGGTTGACTCACAATTTAAAACTAAATTCTCCTCATTAGAGGCAACACTGAGAGCTGAAAAAACAAGATTGAAGTCAATCTGATCATGCTGAACAGAAGATTGACAAAAGTGAAAAAAAATCCATCAAAATAAGCCGGGCTTAATAATTTTTCTACATCATCATCATCATTACTCTGGCAATTTATTGATAAAATTATTCAGTCTACGTCCACTGGTGGCAGGGCACGTAAACAACAATTAATAAAAGGCATTGAAACTCAGCTAAGGAAATATCCGAAAGAACCAGAAATAAATAGACACAATGATCCACTACAGTGGCGGAGTGACAAAATCCCGGAAAAAAAGTTCAATAGAATTACTATAAACTTTTAAAACATATGGCCTATAGAATTTCTTTAGAATTTCTATTAATTTATATATAGAAATTGCTATAAAACTTTTTAAATAACAAAAATGAAGTTTAACAGAAAAAAGCAGTCACTTGGTATTCTGAATAGTCCACATTGTTGACCATGCTCAACACTAAGTAGGGATGTACAGGATTTTGGCTCCTGTAGTTTTCTTTTGAAATCCGGCTCCGGTTCCGATTCCGGCAGGATCTGTCAGTAGAAATCCGGCATATCCGGCTCCGGCCGGATTTGAAAAAATTAAATCCGGTACAGCCCTAGTATTAATATAGATTAGATCTTTTTAAATGGGAAATTTATCAAAGATAATTATCAAAAAAAATTATCAAAACCATTTACCACTTTTACCATGTTTGACCTGTTGCTAGTATTAATATAGATTAGATCTTTTCAAATGGGAAATTTATTAAAGAAACTTTAAAGAGCATTTTGAAGATCTTTAGCATTGTGTCTAATGTTGTTATTAAATAGATAAGAAAAAACAATGATACAGATACTGATGAAATAGATCTATCTATAGAGTGATTATTGTCTTGGTTTTTATGTAGGTTAGCGCAGCGCCAAACTAAATAAAATTAGTTCAGCGCTGTGCTCTCCTAGGTAAAAACTGGAACAATGGACAGGGTGTCCATTGTTTTTACGTAAGAGAGCACAGCGCTGAACTAATTTTATTTATCTAGAGAATTTATCTTACTTTGATATAAAGAAAGAAGACATCGGAGATCATAAAAAGAAAAGAAAAAAGCATAATCATAAATATAAAACAATTAAATGAAATATGTCATAAGTACAATTATTCAAATACAAATGCCTAAAGTGCATATAAAAATCTATATCTTACCTATCTAAAAGTGTATTTCGAAGTTCATTTAACGAGTAGCCTGAACCAAGATGATTATAAAATGGACCTGAATCACTTGTGTCTGAAACTAAAAAATGAGATATAATAAAATGGTGCTACATTTACAGTAAAACAAAGTTTATTATTTCAATAAGCTTTTTAAAGAGTGTCATACCAGCACATCCACATTCAGAATTTATTTTAATCTTAGAATACTTCAGCTGAACACTTTTTTTGTGTTTAAAACTATCTGGTTTAGAATCAAATGATTTGTTAGTAAAAAAACTATTTTTCGGAGAAGTTGGTAAACTCAGCAATTGGATGTTATGAGGTTTTAGCGATAATTCATGCACAAAAGTACTAAAACTTGGTAAAGGTCCTGCACTATGTGGACGCACTTTTTTTATTAGATCTTCTTCGGATTCAAGAATAGAAGTTCGAGGTTCAGTAATTTCTGGTGTATTAGACAGCTTGTATTTTTTCGGACTCTGTATATTAACTTTTTGTTTTGGACTCTGCAGTTTTTTATATTTTTCATCTAATATATTGCTATGGCTTTCCAAAGAAGAAGGAGTAGTAGTTTTTAATAAGTTTACTTCACTTTCATTTTCTAAAAGTTTAAATTTAATCAAGTTTTCATCAAGTGTAGGCAAGGTAATTTGAGAAACTAAAATATCATTTACACTATTTGATGAGTGAACTAATTTGTTGGATGTTTTTTCATTTGAAACACTAATATTATCATATGTTCTTTTTAAAGCTTCATTATGATACTTTATGGATGTTTTCTTTGATGAACGTCGTTTAGTAATTTTATCAGTAAGATTAGCATTTACATTGTCAGTAAGTGTGACCAAATTTTGATGATAATTGTTATAGGCTTGTTTTCTTTTCGACTCCTAAATTGAAAAAATTAGCATTAAATAAATTTGAATTTATTAAAATACAACAGCATAAAATGTACATCATTGAAAAAATAAAAAATTTCGATTCCAATATATCTGAGTGTGTGTGTGTATTTAATATTTATACCCTGTAAATATTATGACGATAAAATGCGCTTTACAAATACAACATTTGGAACCTTTTTGAAGTTTTTCTTTTTTCTTTCCAACTGTATTTTTAATATTTGAAGACATTTTCTTTCTTTGCATATTTGCTTTCCAGTTTTTCTTTTTATACAAAACACACATAACCCACAGTTTTGAAGTACCTGACATCCACTACAAACTCCACATTTAATTTGACGCTTACGAACTACACCATTATCAGACTTTTGGTTAGAATAATTTAGTGTCATTTCTACATTTTCCTCGAAATTCATAATTACAAGTTTAACCACGTGCATATTATTACATCACCCCATTATGAATATTACATGTTTAAACAACTGTTAATTATATCTCCAGTTAATTATCCGCAAAACACCACTAAATTATCTGCATAATGCCGTAAGGAATATATTTTGATAAGAACACAAAACTAAAGCTTCTAACCTTAGCCAAACTCTCTTTTGAGATAATAGTATTCCACGGGCGCACGATATAACCACCAACGCCATCCCAGATCTTCTGATAGTAATTATCTGACATTTTTATACATAAGTCATTTTTTCTGTGATCGAACAGTCGTGATCGATGTTATACGCTTGTCATTTTGACTAAAACAAAAATGAAATTTAGTTAGTTGTTATGGCTTAAAAACTTTTTACATTTAAAAGAATATTATTCTTCATAAACCTTCAAACTTTTAACATTTTATTTACAAAAGTTATTCGCGGTAAAGCTGTTTTGTAGTTGGATTCAGCAGATGTACACGTGAATAGAAAACCATGTTTTCTATTCACAATTTCTACTCTGAAGTCGCGATAAACTTTTTATCGCAACGTTGTTTTTTGTAAAAAGAAAGAAATTAAAATAGTTTTTAAAGCAATAATTTTCATTTAACTGTAAGCATTACAACGCATAAAAGAGTAAGGCCACATTCAACAAAAAAGAAAGGCTTCGATGTATTTCATTAACAATAATAACTTATATAAGATAAACTTTAAATTTAAATTTTTTAGAAGTAAAAAAAAATTGAGTAATGTTAAAGTTGTTTTAATTTTAAAATTAACGAAATACGTACGAGATATTATGAGATTTTTTGTTGCGTAAAACGGAAATTGTTTTTAAGCTTCTTAACGTTTTGGCATCTAAAAAGCAGTTGTCTTGGATTATTTTCTGAGTCGTCACAAAGGTCTCCGTATAAGTTTAAAAATCTTCTTAGAGCAATTAATATCAGTTGTGTAATTAGAAATTTACGTAAAGTGAAAAATCTTTTCTTAAATCTTGAATTCAATTTTATTGTTGAAAATGTTGAAAATTTAAATATGAATGTTTAGGAGCAAGTGGTACAGGTATTCAATAAAATCTTAAAATGATCTTTAAAAAAATATACTTTGAAAAAAAAAGTACTATTTCAATTCGGTTGATTTGTTGACAAACTATTGTCTTGTTATCAAAATCACATTAGCTGTGGAAGTGCACATTAGCTGTGGAAGTACACATTAGCTGTGGAAACAAGTTCACATAACGTTTTCAAAATATTTATAAAACTAAACTTTTTAATAAAATGAAATTTTTTCAAACTTAAACTTTAAAATTTGGATTTAAAAAAATTAAAAGCAAAAATAATGATCAGAAAATGATTGAAATTGGTATCGTGTTGTCTTCAAAAACATTGGTTTAAAAATTGCAATTTAACATTAAAAAGTAAAAGGCTGAGCCAAATCATTTATATACAATGAGTTCTCAAAATGCTCGAAACAACTCGAAACCACAGCAATAGAATATGATTTGGGAATTATATTATCCAATAATAGTTAAAAAGTGAGCAGCCAGCTTCAGCTGGTAATAGAATGCAAGGAAATTTAAAAAAGAATATTTAAGTCGTAGTTTAACTCTTTGGCGTTTCCTGTAATTACTTATATCCGACTATTACGATAAATTGCCGCCCTAACGCGGTCTCCTCATTGTAGAGGAGATACAAATACAATTGAAATTTGATTCAACTAATTTTGTGGAGCAATAAATTACACCAAAGATTTAAATACAGTTAAAAAACAAGAAGTCACACTTATAAATCAGCCGCTTAAAAATTTTGAAAGATGCAATTTTTTTTATGAAATGACAAGTTAATAACGGAGTTCTTTATTAACTACCACTGTACACGCACCATTGCTCAGTTTAAAAAAAGGACTTCAAGCATTCTTCGTTTGTATAGCCTTATCAAATGTTTAGGCTTTTTTTTTTAGCTTGTAGAGACATGTGCTTTTCTATATCAGCTTTATATGGTGAACAGTTAGATCCAGGGGGAGATGGGGTATGCATTTCCCGCCCCCTCCCCTAACTAGAATCTAAAAGTCCTAAAATATCTTGGAATTTGAAGACCTTTTATTTTTTAGGAGACGCAAGTATGGTACAAAAATACAAAATTAATTCAACATTCTCCATCCCCTACCGAAAATTCCTGGATCCGTCTCGGATGGTGGACTGGTAAGTATAGTTGTTTTTCACTCTCGGCTATTTCTTTCTTTTGTTTTTAAGATTGCTGAGTGCTCTTAAAAAGTTTTTAAGAACGCTATTATGTTGATATTAGAAATGGTTTTCATTTGATGAATTAGCTCTAATAACTCAAAAGTAGAATTTATTTTGACAATTTCAATAGACAGCTATAATTGCAAGTATCGTCAGAAAAGCTTTTCTGACAATATTTGCAATTATAGCTACACCACCGAAATTGCCAAAATAAATTCTACTTATGTGTTATATGCGCTATTTCATAAGTGATAAGGACTCTTCTTTAAAGAAAAGTTCTTATCTGTCTCTCTCTTATCTGTCTCTCTCTTATCTGTCTCTCTCTTATCTGTCTCTCTCTTATCTGTCTCTCTCTTATCTGTCTCTCTCTTATCTGTCTCTCTCTTATCTGTCTCTCTTTTATCTGTCTCTCTCTTATCTGTCTCTCTCTTATCTGTCTCTCTCTCTGCCTCTCTCTGTAAATAATTAAGATCTGCATTTTTAACGAAATCTTTAGCATGAATTGTTTTAATTTTTTGCGATTTTATAAATTTGTAAATGTTACTTATAAATAACTGAACAAATAAAATAAATACAAATGGCTTATTTCTGTCATTAGTAATAATAAGATTTTTGATGTAAATCTGGAAGACTGAGAGGTCGAATTTGTTTCTATAATTTATAGATGGAAAACTATTTTGGATGGTATAAACTATGCAAATGCTGTAGTAAAGTTTTAGCTGCTCAAAATGCTTACTGCTTTTGTACTTATTGCATCAAGGACTAATGCAGGTTGTGAACGTTTGTTTAGCATGATGACTTAATAACGGACTGAAGGCAAAAACTATTTAAAAATTAATACACTTAAGAGTGTAACGAAAGTAAAGACTGTCCGAAATGATAATGACCCGTTGGTTTTAAATATTTTTAGAATCGCTTCAATAATTTTTAATTTTGAGAATCAATTTTAATCATTTTTTAATGTTTTAGAGCAAGTTTTATTTGAGACAAGTTGATAAACGCTAGTTGGGTTGATTAAGGTGAAAGTCCTTGAACTATTGTAAGATGCGAAAGGTTTGAGCCAAAAAAAAAACATGTTCTACCACTAATTCAAAACAACAGGTGTTCATTTGGGTTATGTTGAAAAAGAAGACACCATTACCAGTAAACATTATATAAAAAACTGTTTGAAACTTCTTATAGACAAAATAAATAAGCAAGGGAGTGTCCCAGAAACAAACCATCCCCCCCCCCCAGGATACCTCTCAAGTTATTCCCATTCTGTAAAGTCCCTTGAGGTTAAAAATCAACGGAAAAAAAGATCAGTTGTCAAAAAATGCTATTTGTAAAACTTGACAAAATTGAATTTTTTGAAAAAAATTACATCAATTTAGTCTTAGTTAATAAGTAAATTTTTTCTCATCTTTTTTTTATTATTATTAAACTTATTGATTATGTCTAAGTTGACATCTGTCTGTTGCATGTTTTTATAGTCCGAGACATGTTTTTAAAGTCTGATGCATGTTTTTATAAGCATATTTATTTTTAAAACAGATTCGGATATGCTTATGCCAAATATTATGAGGCTTAGAAAGATGCACAAACTTCTGATACATATATACTTTTGCTTTGCACACACAAAAAAACAAAAAAAACAATAACTTTATTTAATGATTTTCATGCATCAAATAAGCACAAAAAAATAATAGATTTCTGCTCATATTTCGCAAAACATGTGTAATTTAGAGTTAGGCTCAACAATATACTTGTTGTTAGAGAGGATATTAAGTTTTTTTTGAACCAGAAAGAGGATAGGAAAATATATCTAATAAGAGAGGTAGATAAAGAGTTTAAATAATTTTTTAAAAACAGACAGGATTGGCTGCAGAGAATAAATAAATAAAAAAATACAGAAGTGGAGAAAGAACAAAAGAAAAAGAACCTGGCTCTAAGCAAGGTTTCTTTAGATTCTGATGCTGGTTTCTCTGCATCAGACTCAGAAGCTGTATTTTTCACAGATGAAGATTCTGTTGATAAATTAATTCAATATTCTGATTTACAGTAAAAGCCAAAGTAAACAAATGGTGGTTATAAAATATAAAGTTGGTTTAATTGATTTTGAATAAACTAAATTATAATTCAATTAGAGTAGAAATATCGTAGCTATTTATTATTTATATAATAATGAATATTAGTCCAGAAGATATAGTAGATTGTACGTCTGTAATATCTGCTTGGTATAGGGTTGGAATCCAATCTCAAACCGCGATCATTGCAGAATATGAATATAATAAATCAGGCGTGAATCTTAAAAATATTCCTATCTCCAAAAGTTCTGTTCCTTGAAAAAAATTCAAGGAGATTGAAGATCTAGTTAAGAATTATTAGCAAAAAAAAAAAGCTAGGATAAATAAAGCTTTAATTATAAGCCAGACCAATTAAGACGTGATATAATGGAAACTTTAAAGAAAAAAAGACTTGTCCTGCACTGCGACAGCAAAAAGAGGTTGAGGAGAATTTGAATATTAGTGTTACTGTTGAAAGAATTTCTGTTAGTGTTACTTCACTAGATATTGATAACACAAATGATATCCTACTTGGAGTAGTTCAAGCTTATAAGTAAATTACCCAGGCAGATGTAATTTTAAACCTTCAAGAGTATTACAAAATTGTTGATCAGTTCTCTGTCATATGTTGTGACATCATTGCTTCCAACACTGAAGTATTTGTTGGCGTCATTACTATTCTCACAAATATTCTCAACATCCCTTTTCTCTGGTTTATCTGAAGGCAACTTATGTTGGATTTACACATTTCTTATTTTAAATAATGGTTTGGAATGAGCAAAACGATCTGCAAAATTATTCAATTGGATTGCATGCTTCTGACAACGATAAAGACATTGTAACTTTTTTTTTTCGGTGCTTCCTCAA